CATTACAGATGATCTATTATTTCAAATATTAGCCTGGTGCATGGTCCAGTCTGTTTGTGCTTAGCCTACTCGTGTCTGTGTTAGTAATATAATATAATATATTCCATTTAGCAGATGCTTCTATCCAAAGCAACTTACAGTCATGCTTACATTTTACAGATGTGTGGTCCCGGGAATCAAACCCACTATCCTAGTGTAGCAAACGTGTATGACATGGCAACAATAGTAGAGATGGCTACAACACATACAGTGTATAAGACCAGGTTACTTAAGCAACCCTTTCAAACACACAACGCCGCTACAGTAGCACAAATCTAGGAGGTTTGGTAGTTGGATGTAATCACAAATTATATACACTACCGTTCAAAAGTTTGGGGTCACTTAGAAATGTCCTTGTTTTCGAAAGAGAAGCAATTTTTTTTGTCCATTAAAATAACATCAAATTGATCAGAAATACAGTGTAGACATTGGTAATGTTGTAAATGGCTATTGTAGCTGGAAACTGCTGATTTTCTATGGAATATCTACATAGGCGTACAGAGGCCCATTATCAGCAACCATCAGTCCTGTGTTCCAATGGTACGTTGTGTTTGCTAATCCAAGTTTATCATTTTAAAAGGCTAATTGATCATTAGAAAACCCTTTTGCAATTATGTTAGCACTGCTGAAAACTGTTGTGCTGATTAAAGAAGCAATAAAACGGGCCTTCTTGAAACTAGTTGAGTATCTGGAGCATCAGCAATTGTGGGTTCGATTACAGGATCAAAATGGCCAGAAACAAATAACTTTCTTCTGAAACTCGTCAGTCTATTCTTGTTCTGAGAAATGAAGGCTATTCCATGCGAGAAATTGCCAAGAAACTGAAGATCTCGTATAACGCTGTGTACTACTCCCTTCACAGAACAGCGCAAACTGGCTCTAACAAGAATAGAAAGAGGAGTGGGAGGCCCCGGTGCACAACTGAGCAAGAGGACAAATACATTAGAGTGTCTAGTTTGAGAAACAGACACCTCACAGGTCCTCAACTGGCAGCTTCATTAAATAGTACCTGCAAAACACCAGTCTCAACATCAACAGTGAAGAGGTGACTCCGGGATGCTGACCTTCTAGGCAGAATTGCAAAGAAAAAGTCCAGTGTCTGTGTTCTTTTGCCCATCTTAATCTTTTCTTTTTATTGGCTAGTCTGAGATATGGCTTTTTCTTTGAAACTATGCCTAGAAGGTCAGCATCCCGGAGTCACCTCTTCACTGTTGACGTTGAGACTGGTGTTTTGCAGGTACAATTTAATGAAGCTGCCAGTTGAGGACCTGTGAGGTGTCTTTTCTCAAACTAGACACTCTAATGTATTTGTCCTCTTGCTCAGTTGTGTGTGCACCGGGGCCTCCCACTCCTCTTTCTATTCTGGTTAGAGCCAGTTTGTGCTGTTCTGTGAAGGGAGTTGTACACAGCGTTGTACGAGATCTTCAGTTTCTTGGCAATTTCTCGCATGGAATAACCTTAATTTCTCAGAACAAGAATAGACTGACGAGTTTCAGAAGAAAGTTCTTGTTTCTGGCCATTTTGATCCTGTAATCAAACCCACAATTGCTGATGCTCCAGATACTCAACTAGTTTCAAGAAGGCCAGTTTTATTGCTTCTTTAATCAGCACAACAGTTTTCAGCAGTGCTAACATAATTGCAAAAGGGTTTTCTAATGATCAATTAGCCTTTTAAAATGATAAACTTGGATTAGCAAACACAACGTGCCATTGGAACACAGGACTGATGGTTGCTGATAATGGGCCTCTGTACGCCTATGTAGATACTCCATAGAAAATCAGCCGTTTCCAGCTACAATAGCCATTTACAACATTAACCATGTCTACACTGTATTTCTGATCAATTTGATGTTATTTTAATTGACAAAAAAATTGATTTTCTTTCTAAAACAAGGACATTTCTAAGTGACCCCAAACATTTGAACGGTAGTGTATATATACAGTGGGGGGAAAAAGTATTTAGTCAGCCACCAATTGTGCAAGTTCTCCCACTTAAAAAGATGAGAGAGGCCTGTAATTTTCATCATAGGTACACGTCAACTATGACAGACAAATTGAGAAAGAAAAATCCAGATAATCACATTGTAGGATTTTTAATGAATTTATTTGCAAATTATGGTGGAAAATAAGTATTTGGTCACCTACAAACAAGCAAGATTTCTGGCTCTCACAGACCTGTAACTTCTTCTTTAATAGGCTCCTCTGTCCTCCACTCGTTACCTGTATTAATGGCACCTGTTTGAACTTATTATCAGTATAAAAGACACCTGTCCACAACCTCAAACAGTCACACTCCAAACTCCACTATGGCCAAGACCAAAGAGCTGTCAAAGGACACCAGAAACAAAAGTGTAGACCTGCACCAGGCTGGGAAGACTGAATCTGCAATAGGTAAGCAGCTTGGTTGAAGAAATCAACTGTGGGAGCAATTATAGGAAATGGAAGACATACAGCCCAGTCAAAACTGTTCGCTGCTCTGGCAACCCCAATGGTGGAACAAGTCCCTCACACCCAGGACAGCGATCACTCACAACCTCCGGAGGAACATTGAAACCCACACTCATAAGGAATACTGTAGGATAAGTAATCCTTTCAACCCCCCACCCCCCCCCCCCCAACACCCACCAAAAAAAAAAAAAAAAAAAATATTGGAAAGTTGTTATCCCATGGCTATAGGGTGAATGCACCAATTTGTAAGTCGCTCTGGATAAGAGCGTCTGCTAAATGACGTAAATGTGCCCTTGAGCAAGGCACTTAACCCTAATTGCTCCTGTAAGTCGCTCTGGATAAGAGCGTCTGCTAAATGACTAAAATGTAAATGTAAATACAAGACCACTGATAATCTCCCTCGATCTGGGGCTCCAACCCAAGATCTCACCCGTGGGGTCAAAATGATCACAAGAACGGTGAGCAAAAATCCCAGAACCACACGGGGGGGACCTAGTGAATGACCTGCAGAGAGCTGGGACCAAAGTAACAAAGCCTACATCAGTAACACACTACGCCGCCAGGGACTCAAATCTGCAGTGCCAGACGTGTACCCCTGCTTAAGCCAGTACATGTCCAGGCCCGTCTGAAGTTTGCTAGAGTGCATTTGGATGATCCAGAAGAGGATTGGGAGAATGTCATATGGTCAGATAAAACCAAAATATAACTTTTTGGTAAAAACTCAACTCGTCGTGTTTGGAGGACAAAGAATGCTGAGTTGCATCCAAAGAACACCATACCTACTGTGAAGCATGGGGGTGGAAACATCATGCTTTGGGGCTGTTTTTCTGCAAAGGGACCAGGACGACTGATCCGTGTAAAGGAAAGAATGAATGGGGCCATGTATCGTGAGATTTTGAGTGAAAACCTCCTTCCATCAGCAAGGGCATTGAAGATGAAACGTGGCTGGGTCTTTCAGCATGACAATGATCCCAAACACACCGCCCGGGCAACGAAGGAGTGGCTTCATAAGAAGCATTTCAAGGTCCTGGAGTGGCCTAGCCAGTCTCCAGATCTCAACCCCATAGAAAATCTTTGGATGGAGTTGAAAGTCCGTGTTGCCCAGCGACAGCCCCAAAACATCACTGCTCTAGAGGAGATCTGCATGGAGGAAGGGGCCAAAATACTAGCAACAGTGTGTGAAAACCTTCTGAAGACTTACATAAAACGTTTGACCTGTGTCATTGCCAACAAAGGGTATATAACAAAGTATTGAGAAACTTTTGTTATTGACCAAATACTTATTTTTCCACCATAATTTGCAACTAAATTCATAAAAAATCCTACAATGTGATTTTCAGGATTTTTTTTCCTCATTTTGTCTGTCATAGTTGACGTGTACCTATGATGAAAATTACAGGCCTCTCTCATCTTTTTAAGTTGGATAACTTGCACAATTGGTGGCTGACTAAATACTTTTTTTCCCCACTGTATACTTATTTTTTTTGCCTACAGATATGGGGTATGCCAGGCGTTAAAGATTGTAAGGACTACTGAAGGAGAGAAAAAAGAAAACAGTTTGTACTTTCACAAATATAGCACTGCAGGGATACGTGGCAATTTTATTTTTCTACTATTTTTGTTGATTGTTCTTACCAGATATGATGAAATATAGGAAAATGTATAGCTATTTAATTATATCAGATAATATGAAGTTTAAATGAATTGTATATACGTGTCTTATATCTGTGTGTTTGTATATATACTTTCAATTTGCATTATTGGCATTTGTACACAGTTTTTTCATTTTGTTTGTTAAGCTATCATTTGCACATTATTATGTGGCACAGACCAAAAAACAGTATACACCAAACACTATAAAAAATCTGATACTGCATAAGTCTAATTCCTCTAACCGTATTCACATATCTACATTAAATGTATAGGCTACTGTAACTTACTCAAGTCACTTTTCTAAAATGTTAGACAAAAATGCTTTCTGTTTGAAGTTACACTTATTTTCATAAGCACTGAGGACATACACAAAAATATGATATATGTATGTAGATAAACACATTATACATTTATTTGTAGATATTGTATAAGTGTGATATATCGCTTGAATATAAAAACGCAAAAGGATTATCATATGAGTTATGAAAGCACACAGTGTATGTTGTGTCATCCACACTTGTATGTAGCCTATGTAAAATAAGAATGATGGATTTTATGTATTTTAACATCATGTCATGGAACTACAAATCACACATCTGCAATGTGCAAATCCACAACCCTACATTGTCAACATGACTGTAATCATATGAGTGATTGATGGATTCTGTGAATCGTTACACAAATTATAGTAGTTACTGTATGCAGTTTTCCCATTTTGCAATCTATGTAGGCCTATAATCATATCAAGATGAGGGAATTAATATATTCTTTGAGTTTCAATAAAATACTTACATAACTGAAAAAATATAATTGATATCATGTTTTATTCATATTATTCATGTTTCTATGATTCATGTCAATATTGATGTCTGCTGGAGTCATGATTTGGTGGGAGAGGCCACAAGAGTCCCAAACCTCTGCATGCGCAGTTCACCACATTGAAAATGATTGCCTCAAACTCTCGGAAGTTCAGCCAAGTTGCTGTGATTTAGCTGGCCAGCTAGCTACATATATAACGTTAGCTAAAAGACGGTGCGACTAAGGTAAACTAGCTTATTTTATTGTTCCACTCTATATCGAGACATTAAGGATTATACATGGATTTACATCGCTTTTCGTTATATTTCGTTCGAAAACATGAATGGTAGCCACCTTTGGAAGAAGTTGTGATTGTTTTTTTGGCGCTCTAGCAACGCAGGGGAATGATGGTGGAGTTGAGCTAACAGGCTAACGCTAGCTTAATATGCGATAACAGAGCTAGCTTGGTTGCGATCGTTTGTGTCTGGAAAGTTTGGAAGAACTGCCCCATCCATTTGCCAGGGACTCGTAAGTATCCCCTATCCCTAAAATGTATTAGCAAATATATGCATTTGATATATTTTTGACCAATTACTAATTAGCTAGCTAATGTTAGTTAGCTTGGCTACTAACGTTAGCACTTCACCACAGACTTCACGAGTGCAGAGAGCTAGCTAGCTAACTTTAGCTAGCTAATTAGCCAGCTAGCTACAAATGAAGGTTCTACTACTAGCTACGGTAGTTTGTCCACACCACGTCTGACCAAGAGATGAAGATACTGACGTTAAATTAACTAACCATTTGATTAGTCATACCGTTTCATATCAATAAGGTAACTAAGCCAAAACCTTGTAATTGATCTCATTAAAAAAAGCTTTGGCCCAAGCCTAATTAGCTTTCCTAGCTAGCCAACGTTACCTTTATTAACTTGGAAGAAACAATGGCTAACTAACTAGCTAGCTAACTCCATTTTTATCACAAACTAGCTAGCTAGATCATCAGTTGTCAAATGTATTCTTCCAGCTAGCTACCTAACTTGGCTGACAGTAAACTATATGTGTGCAGGGCAGGCCTACATCTTATGTTGGCATAGCAGATAAAGCATCATGAGTGCTCCTCAGCCTCGAAGGATGGAACCAGGGATGCTGGTGGCTGGATCTAGGTAAGAAAGAAACCCTCTGTTAATGAAGAGTTTGAAAGGTCACTTTGTCTCTTTCACATCAATCAAATGTAGCTAACTACGTAGCTACAGCTCTTCCCATGATGTTCATTCACTCACTGACACTATTGGCATTTATAATTTCACTTTCCTTATCTCCCAGACATCAGATGGTGCTCTGAAGAAGCCATGGGTAGCTGCTTGAGCTGTCCAGAGAAGGAGTCAATCCCAGATAATCATCAAACCAAGTTTAAGGTTGGTCTGTTGATCTGTTACAACAATCCTACTTCAACGGTGGTCCATTGCTGAGTCCACCCACATTCTAGGTATGACAGATTTCGCAACATGTCAAAAACAATCTGTAGACTTCCCACCTGAATGAATGGGAAATATTGGTTTCACAATGAATACCATCTTCAGTGCATTGCAGTGTAGACATGTTTGTGTTGACTGACACAGTGACCGTTGTGTAAAGTTATTTCTCTGTTGCCAGGTGATAAACGTGGATGACGATGGGAACGAGCTGGGCTCAGGCGTGATGGAGCTGACGGAGGCAGAGCTGGTCCTCCACACCCATCGCCGTGACGATGTTAGGTGGCCCTACCTGTGCTTGCGTCGCTATGGCTACGACTCCAACCTCTTCTCCTTCGAGAGCGGCCGCCGCTGCCAGACGGGACAAGGTCAATTAATAGAGATTTCCATTCCACACAATTATTGATTTCACTTATTTTATTAGTTGATTTTCTCAGCGTATGTCGCACCAGAGCTAAATTAACGAACGTATGTGGTGCCTCAGCTGCCTGGGCAGGAGTATACATACAACGGTGTAATAATGTTGAAAATGTATACAGATCCACAATAAAATCCCATGTAATACACAATGTTGTGGATCTAACATGAATCATGATAAACATCAGAATACATTGAATCACATCTGCAACTAGGTCATTAGGCCCCAACAACATCAGCTTTGTTATTGTTATATTGACTTGGACCAGTCATTGATTATGCAGCAATGCCAATGACACAAATGTCTGTGTGGTTATTTTTGGACTCCATCCATGCTTTCAAAAGGATGAGGTCTGGTGGCGAGAGAGAGGGAGACCTGGGGGTTGGGACAGGGGGGGTGGTTACTATGGGTTCCGGTAAGTCAGGCTTGTTGTGTTCCCACCTCATGCCTTGATGATGAATGACATAATACTGTGATCACCAGAAATATTAGTCAGAAATAGAATCATTATGGTATCATTGACTTAAGTAGGGATTGGATTGGATGTCCATTTAATTATTCTATTTCTGTGGTTACAGTATTGATGCCTGTGTCTGACTCTGTGTGGTGTTGTGCTGTGTTTGAGAGGGAGTTGGGTTTTTTAGTTTGGTCGCACAAGTAGAGCAAAGCTGTGTGTTCTGTGTTTTCTTTGTCATTATGCAGTTTGACTTGTTTCAGGGATGGGATCGTGTGTAGTTTGTCTCTAATGTTATGCTGTACCTATGGTTGTTCCTAATGTGTTCCGTCTTGATATTTTACGATGCTATAATTTCCTTGTCCTTCATCTCTATCACTCTGTTGCCTTCCCCTACCCAGTCCTTTTAGATCAGTGATCACAAGGTCGACAAGGGCATAGGTGGCAAGGAAAAGTTTGAAGACCCAATAAATGTACAAACCTTTTGTAAACTTGAAGGTGTAAGCAGTGCTGATAATGGTTGCGCGTCTCAATTGTCTATATTGCAGTCGTGCTGCCCATATGCGATTCATGAGTTGTTTTTTGACTGTGTTTTGACTGTTTCTTGACTGTGTGTGTGTGTCTTTAGGGATATTTGCCTTCAAGTGTGCTCGGGCGGAGGAGATCTTCAACATGCTGCAGGAGGTAATGCACAGCCACAGCATCAGTGTGGTGGAGGAGGCCGTGCTGGAGGCCAACCACCAGGCCAACCACCAGGCTGGTAAGACCGTATTCATCCTACAACTAGAACTTGTACAGACCCCATTATGAATACTTCTACCCATACTTGCAATGACCTAAAATGCCCATTGCCTCATATATAGGGTTTCCGTTAGGAAAATGTGGCCGGCAACATTTTAATTTACCAGACATTTGAGAAATGTACTGGACCCATATGCATTGGGTGTGTAACCTGAGCAGGGCTCAGAATGACAGAAATCACATTTAGAATATGGTCATTCATATTAACAGAACAAGTCGAGGATGCAATGATGTGCAGTCCTTCTTACTGAATTCTGATGGGCACTTTGTTAGAATGTTAGAATAACTGTCCACAGTTACTTTTCCTCAGCCAACAAGACAAGTAACGAACAGCAAAATCACTAGCCTATGTCAATCTACTACAGTAGAAAAGTTTAGGCTACCTATTCTATTGGTCAGCTTGTCGAGAAAGAAATGGCCTATCCCAAATAGACTCTGGGACATTGTCCCCACTGACCCCCCCAGTTCTTCCCTTCTCTATGTCTATCTAGCTCTGGGCTACTCTGTCCCCACCGTGCCCAATGGTGTCACCCGGATCCCTTCGGTGGGCGACACCCCCTCGTACCCCTCCACGCGCCACCCGTCTGTGGCCAGCACCCGCCTGCCCTCGGTGGGAGAGGAGTCCTCACACCCCCTGCTAGTGGCTGATGATGCGGTGAGAGAGCGACTCAATAGCAAACTATAGTTTTTTTTCTGGATAAAAAAAGGGGCTTGGGTGGTTGGGGGTGTGGCAGGCGCGGTCTGCCCATTGGCACGGCTCAATTTTAGATAACATTTTAGAGGCCCCGGTCTTGGCGGTGTAGATAGATTTTTGCATTTGTAAGCTCATTTCCTGCCCATTCTACACATTTCTCCACACAGCTGAGAGACAATGTTGCAGTTTTAAAGATAATTTCCTGCAATTCTATGCGTTTTGCCATGGCTAATGCTGTGTTCTTTTGCTCAAACATAACTAAATCTATACTGCTAAATTCATTGTTTTGGGAATTTTCAATTATCACTAGCTGTCTAGCTTTATTTTGCTGATTGTTAGTTCTCAAAGATTATATTATAAAAAAAGATATAGGTTAATTATCTTTTTTACATACTTTATATCTGGTTTTAGTCGTTAAAGTTTTTTTTTTTTTACACTGTTTGGACTTAGGTGACCCGAAATAACGCTTAGGCGGCCCGCACAAAGATTTCAATGGCAGAAAACTCCCTGCAAACGCATGACCATCTGAGGGAAAACTCCCTGCAAACGCATGACCATCTGAGGGAAAACTCCCTGCAAACGCATGACCATCTGAGGGAATAGAATAAGGCCAGCATACTGAAATACTCCAACCTGTATAGCTTTATACACTGAGTATACAAAACATTAGGAACATCTTCCTAATATTGAGTTGCACCCCCTTTTGCCCTCACAACAGTCTCAATTCGTCGGGGCATGGACTCTATAAGGTGTCGAAAGCGTTCCACAGGGATGCTGGCCCATGTTGATTCCAATGCTTCCCAAAGTTGTGTCAAATTGGCTGTATGTCCTTTGGGTGGTGGACCATTCTTGATACACATGGGAAACTGTTGAGTGTGAAAAACCCAGCTGTGTTGAAGTTCTTGACACACTCAAACCGGTGCGCTTGGCACGTACTACCATACCCCGTTCACTTAAATCTTTTGTCTTGCCCATTTAAACTCTGAATTGCACACACACAATCCATGTCATAATTGTCTCAAGGCTTACAAATCCTTCTTTAACCGGTCTCCTCCCATTCAAATCTACACTGATTTTAAAGTGGATTTAACAAGTGACATCAATAAGGGATCATAGCTTTCACCTGGATTCCCCTGGTCAGTCTGTCATGGAAAGAACTGGTGTTCCTAATGTTTTGTACACAGTGTAGATGAAACAAGACCTTTCAATAGAAATGTTTTGGTTGGGTTTGGTAGAGCACATTTTGAGGTATCCTAGATTAGGGGTTCTCAAACTTTTGGGGTCTGGGGACCCCTTTTGTGATACATTTAACAGGGACCCCCTCATAATCAGAACACAACTCGTGTTAGATACAAATGGCATACAAGGAGTTTTATTATGACTTCGGCAGTGCATGGCAGGACGAACCAAGTCTTGGGCCCTGGGAAGGAACATTGTAAAGGCCCGCACCATGGCATAAAACGAAACAAATCTGTTTTCAAGTTAATTTCCTGCAATTCTATACATTTTGTTATGGGGCAGAGATTTCTTGTTTCAGCTTTAAAGCTAATATCTTGTAATTCTACACATTTTACAATGAGGCAGAGAGAAGTTTGCAGTTTTAAAGATTAAATGACAGTGCAATTATGTTTTTAAAAAAATATTTTTGGGGGAATACAGGAAGTATTGAGTTGGGAAATGTATAATTGATGGAGTTACTATGGATACCAATATCCCTGTGAGCCTCCCTGGCCCATGTTGCTCAGGGTTAAGAACATAAATTGTAGATTAATAATATTACCAGGGTCCAACGTTAACTTTTTTTCTCTCACTGGCCAAATCTACTGTCCCGGACATAGTGTCGTTTTTAAATGCATTGGGGTCATGCAGGGCCTGTTGGCATGCTTTCTCTCTGTATTCATCTATTAATAGGCTAGATTTGGTTATAATGATACAGTGCATTCGGAAAGTATGTTTCTACAACCTGATTGGAGTCCACCTGTGGGAAATTAAATTGATTGGACATGATTTGGAAAGGCAACACTTGTCTATATAAGGTCTCACAGTTGACAGTGCATGTCAGAGCAAAAACCAAGCCATGATGTCTAAGGAATTGTCCGTAGAGCTCCGAGACAGGATTGTGTCGAGGCACAGATCTGGGGAAGGGTACCAAGAACATTGAAGGTCCCCAAGAACAAAGTGGCCCCCATCATTCTTAAATGGAAGAAGTTTGGAACCACCAAGACTCTTTCTAGAGCTGACTACCCGGCCAAACTGAGCAATCGGGGAAGAAGGGCCTTGGTGAGGGAGGTGACCAAGAACCCGATGGTCACTCTGACAGAGCTCCAGAGTTCCTCTGTGGAGATGGGAGAACCTTCCAGAAGGACAACCATCTCTGCAGCACTCCACCAATCAGGCCTTTATGGTAGAGTGGCCAGATGGAAGCCACTCCTCAGTAAAAGGCACATGACAGCCCGCTTGGAGTTTGCCAAAAGGCACCTAAAGGACTCTGACCATGAGAAACCGTGGTCTCGGGACAAGTCTCTGAATGTCCTTGAGTGGGCCGGACTTGAACCTGATGGAAATCTCTGGAGAGACCTGAAACTAGCTGTGCAGCGACCCTCCCCATCCAACCTGACAGAGCTGGAGAGGATCTGTAGAGAAGAATGGGAGAAACTCCCCAAATACAGGTGTGCAAAGCTTGTAGCGTCATACCCAAGAAGACTCGAGGCTGTAATCGCTGACAAAGGTGCTTTAACAAAGTACTGAGTAAAGCATCTGAATACTTTTGTAAATGTGATCATTTTTTGTTGCAAAAATGTCTCAACCTGTTTTTGCTTTAATCAATTTGAGAATAAGTCTGTAACATAACAAAATGTGGAAAAAGTCAAGAGGTCTGAATACTTTCTGAATGCACTGTATGTGAAAATTGCGCGTTTCTATGTTTTGTAGTAAGAAAGATGGAGTATAAGTGTTTCCAATGACGTCATAAACCAATTAGGCAATTAGTAGGCAATGCCAACTCATAATTGGTTCAAATAACACAATGCACACCGATGTCATTGGAAACACTTATCTTCCTTTATCTTTTTTAATACAAAACATATTAACACGCAATTTTCACTTATGTTGATGTTGGGGTGGTGTTTGAGATTGAGGTTGAGAAATTGTGAAATTTCCCGTTAAGCCGTTCTGCGTTCCAAACAAGATATGGACTTGGCTACAGTAGGCTAGCCAAGACGAATGCTAGGTGTCTTTGTAGCTTTCTTTTTGCAGACTATCAACAGTAACCAGCATATTACTAATATGTCACTACTGAAGGTTTACTTTTTTTAAAATCACTTTCCCTAAAATAAATAAGATCAGCGGGTAGATTGATGGGTCATTCTTTTAACTCTGGACAGCTCACGTGTGCTGTGTGAAGGCATTAACTCATATACTGCTCGAGAAGTTGTGACTCGCGGGAGCGTGGTGGTACTTCAATGAACGGCCAATCATATTGCTAAAATATAAATAGCATGACTTTTCCGCGTGTAGTCTAGTCTTCAATGGATTTCGATGGTGGACTGCGACAGAGCAGGTAAATGTTGAACTGGAACGCAAAAATTGCGCTGAGAAGTTACTGGTTGCTGTTTTTACTGGCCCCGGGCCATCATGTCGGACCCTGATTACATTATATGGTATTACACCCTATAAACTTATTCCATGGATCCCTTGGCCAAAATAATATTCATTTCAATTGAGAACCCTGTCCTAGACTAAAGAGAACATCCACTGTTCCACTTGTGACGTCGATGGGTAATAATGAGTTTATGTAAAAGCTGCGGAGTTGGTGTGATGACGATGTTATATTAATCCTGTCTCCTGATCCGTCTACAGATCCACACCTATGTGAACACCACAGGCCTGCTGGATGACCAGCCCAGCCCTCTGACTGCTCCAGCCCCTCTGGACAGCCCCGACTCAGGCCAGTCCCAGTGCCCCCCTACACCCCCTCCTCCACGGGTAGCCAGACCAGAGCCTTTGCCCCCCATGCCCCAGCTCCAGGAAGAGCCCCAGGTACTGCTGGAGCCCCTGGGGGTGCGCTTCGTGCTGGGGCCCACCCCTGTGCAGAAGAAGATGGCCAAGGGGAAGCAGTCGACTGGGGATGGAGATGGAGAGGAGGCAGGAGAGGACCCAGAGTCCCCGGATCCTGGAGAGGGGAAGACTAACGGCCACACGGACACACACTGTGCCACCGAGGCCCCAGCCCCACTGGAGGGCCAGCCTCAGCCGCCCCACACACACTCCAACGGCACCTCGGCCTCTGTCGGGGCTCCTGCTCCAGCAACAGCCCCCCGCCTCCACCGCCCACCCCCCCTCACCCCCGACACCATGCAGAATGTCAACAACTCAGCCCAGCGACGCACGGCCCTCCTGGACTATGAGAACCTGCCGGCCCTGCCGCCCGTCTGGGAGACCCGCAAGCCCAGCAACAAGGAAGTGGAGAACAATGGAGGGCCCCACGGTGGAGGAGGCCAAGGGGGGCTGAAGACGCCCTCCCTCAACGGCCTCAACCACCACCACCACAGCCTCCTCCACCACTCCTACTCCCACCCCCTGTCAGCCTACCCCCCTCTGTCGGCCATGGAACCCTCCCACAACTACGTCAACACAGAGAATGTGACGGCTCCTCTAAGCGCCCGCTGTGCCCCCGACATGGTACGCCGCCGCACCGACGGACCCACCATCTTCAACTTCGACTTCCGGCGGCCGTTGGGGCCGCTGTGTCAGGAGCCTCCCAAGACACTCAACTACATCGAGGTGGAGATGGAAACTACCACCACCTCTTCCTCCGCAGCAGCCAAGGGTGCCTCCTCGGACACCAGCAACCCCCACACGCCCCGCACCCCCACCTCGCCGCTGCCGCCCACCACCCCCACCCGCCGCACTGAGCTCTACGCCTTCATTGACATCGAGCGCACCGCCGCCATGTCCAGCCTGCAGAAGGCTCGGCCGCGCGACGATGGAACGTCGAGGAAAACACGGCACAACAGCACGGAACTGCCCACCAAAAGCACTGTCTGACTCTGAACTGATTCTCCTGGCACCTTTTTCTACTATGAACCCCCTTTAAAAAAATATGAAACCAATGTGAAGGCAGCCTACACAGCGGACTTTCTTAATAAACACAAAGACAGAAACACAGGCCATGGAGACATTGAAAATGCATTCAAAGAGACTCCAGAAAGCTGTCTTAAATTAGATATAAACAGGCTTTTTGTTGTATGTGTGGTTGGTTACCTGTAAGGGAATTCAGGTAGACCAAAGTAGGTACTTACTTGCAATATACCAATTTATTCCTATGGTAATATAATACCTCTTCTCCTTCACTCATTCTACAGTGCATTTGGGTTGTTTATTATGTTAATAAGACTGGACTGCATTCCTCCTCACCCAACCCCCACCCCTCCTCACCCAACCCCCACCCCTCCTCTCCTCTATGGTACAAATCAGTATTACTGAACAAAGCATTCCATTTAGCCTTTTTGTATGATATGATTCACTACATGCATTGCTGCTGTAATTTCAGTATCTGAGGATTACATGGTACACTATATGTTTCTGACAATGTACAGTAGATTCTGGCACAATAAATGTCTGTTCTGTTTTTATGTATTCAGCTGATCAATGCTCCCGCCCCCCCAACTCTAGTCCTAGATGACCTAGCACTGAATCGACTACTAACTAGATATGATATGGCATGTCATAGGTCGCGTTCCTCTGTCCAAGCATTGCTGACACATGCCAGATCTTACAACGCCTGGATAGGTATGTTATGTATGGGCAAACCACATATGTTCTAGCAATCTGTTGCACGACGGCACAGTAGATGACGTGGCACGCAACCATTGGTTGATGCATGCAACGTCTGAGCAGGGGAAAGCAAACAATGTTTTCCACTGCCAAAGGTTTGATGCAGTTTTGAGACTTGGTGTTGGGTAAGACTCTATGTGTAAATGATTGGATGTGGTTCGATATCCCTCTTGTTAATTCTATTTGAACAAATCAGATTATGCCATCTGATATCCCTGCAGTTCTAGTTTTGCTCTCAGCCCTTAAATTTATGATATTCTTCTAGCGACAAAGGTTCTACTTGTGGGTATTCATAGTGGAGCTGCCCATCACAAAAAGTGTATGAGCCAGACAACTCACTAGCCAACTGATTGTTCAGGATGTCACCATAGTGAAGGAGCTAGGAACATCAGGGTGCCTTTTTTTGAAAAGTAGACTCGGCAATATGACGTCATTTAGGGCACTATTCAATCCGTATCGCGGAAGTTCAACGTTACCGTGTGATTGAAACTTCAAGGCAATGATCCCGCATTTACGGTTAACGCTGCATAATTGTCAGCTCAATCGGAAATGGCCTTTACATTTCTATTATGCTATCTGTAACGCTTCAGCAAGCCCTTAGAGGTACTGCCCCTAAAAACCAACTAATCCATTTGAAAACGACCTATGTGGCATCTATACGAGTCAGAAACATGTATTCTAGTGTCAAAATTGACAAAATGTAACTGGGATAATTTTTTAAAATAAAGTCGGTCTCTAAAACTGAGTTTGGGACCCACCGCCGTCCCGCTCATTATTAGCAAGTGAGCGCTGGTGCCATGCGAAGGAAGCTATCATGCGGAATATGTGGTTGGAGTTCGTTGGTTCCCAGTGGTGGTGAGTACTGTCTACTGGTAGCTAGACCATAGACTGCTGGTTATGTATATGTTTTTAATCATTATCACTATCTTATCTAGCTAGCAGACTAACGTTAGCCTACCTCAATACCATACCGATTTGGATTGGAAACACTAACGTTTCAAAAGAAGGCAGATCATTAGGAAACACTTGTCATAATTGTGATGTCGCCAGATTTACTTTAGATGTATAATAACTTTAGCCAGTTTACTAAAATTGAGGAGAGCACTGTATTTTAGCAAGCTAACATTAGCATTGCTAGCTATTTTTGATGAACTGTGATCGTAACCGTAACGTTAATGGCAACACTGCAATCTCTAAAGTAAATTTGACATAATATGGCAAAGTTGTTTCCTACTAATTATTTAGCGATGTCATCGTATTCCCATGCCACTCAATTAGTTTAATTTAGACGAAACAATCACATTAGCCTCCAAGGTGCAACCCATGTCTAGGGCACAAATAATTATTGAATGCAGCTGGTGGTACTAGCTAACTCATGTATTTCAATTTTTTTATTTAACCAGGTAAGCCAGTTGAGAACAAGTTCTCATTTACAACTGCGACCTGGCCAAGATAAAGCAAAGCAGTATGATAAAAACAACGCAGTTACATATGGGGTAAAACAAAACATAAAGTCAAAAATACCACAGAAAATATACAATGCTCAAAAAAATAAAGGGAACACTTAATCAACACAATGTAACTCCAAGTCAATCACACTTCTGTGAAATCAAACTGTCCACTTAGGAAGCAACACTGATTGACAATACATTTCACATGCTGTTGTGCAAATGGAATAGACAACAGGTGGAAATTATAGGCAATTAGCAAGACACCCCCAATAAAGGACTGGTTTTGCAGGTGGTGACCACAGACCACTTCTCAGTTCCTATGCTTCCTGGCTGATGTTTTGGTCACTTTTGAATGCTGGCGGTGCTTTCACTCTAGTGGTAGCATGAGACGGAGTCTACAACCCACACAAGTGGCTCAGGTAGTGCAGCTCATCCAGGATGGCACATCAATGCGAGCTGTGGCAAGAAGGTTTGCTGTGTCTGTCAGCGTAGTGTCCAGAGCATGGAGGCGCTACCAGGAGACAGGCCAGTACATCAGGAGACGTGGAGGAGGCCGTAGGAGGGCAACAACCCAGCAGCAGGACTGCTACCTCCGCCTTTGTGCAAGGAGGAGCAGGAGGAGCACTGCCAGAGCCCTGCAAAATGACCTCCAGCAGGCCACAAATGTGCATGTGTCTGCTCAAACGGTCAGGTGGGGGTTGTGCTTACAGCCCAACACCGTGCAGGACGTTTGGCATTTGCCAGAGAACACGAAGATTGGCAAATTCGCCACTGGCGCCCTGTGCTCTTCACAGATGAAAGCAGGTTCACACTGAGCACGTGACAGACGTGACAGAGTCTGGAGACGCCATGGAGAACGTTCTGCTGCCTGCAACATCCTCCAGCATGACCGGTTTGGCGGTGGGTCAGTCATGGTGTGGGGTGGCATTTCTTTGGGGGGCCGCACAGCCCTCCATGTGCTCACCAGAGGTAACCTGACTGCCATTAGGTACCGAGATGAGATCCTCAGACCCCTTGTGAGACCATATGCTGGTGCGGTTGGCCCTGGGTTCCTCCTAATGCAAGACAATGCTAGACCTCATGTGGCTGGAGTGTGTCAGCAGTTCCTGCAAGAGGAAGGCATTGATGCTATGGACTGGCCCGCCCGTTCCCCAGACCTGAATCCAATTGAGCACATCTGGGACATCATGTCTCGCTCCATCCACCAACGCCACGTTGCACCACAGACTGTCCAGGAGTTGGCGGATGCTTTAGTCCAGGTCTGGGAGGAGATCCCTCAGGAGACCATCCGCCACCTCATCAGGAGCATGCCCAGGCCTTGTAGGGAGGTCATACAGGCACGTGGAGGCCACACACACTACTGAGCCTCATTTTGACTTGTTTTAAGGACATTACATCAAAGTTGGATCAGCCTGTAGTGTGGTTTTCCACTTTAATTTTGAGGGTGACTCCAAATCCAGACTTCCATGGGTTGATAAATTTGATTTCCATTGATAAGTTTTGTGTGATTTTGTTGTCAGGACATTCAACTATGTAAAGAAAAAAGTATTTAATGAGATTATTTCATTCATTCAGATCTAGGATGTGTTATTTTAGTGTTCCCTTAATTTTTTTGAGCAGTGTATATACAGTGTGTGCAAATGTAGCAAGTTATGGAGGTAAGGCAATAAATAGGCCATAGTGCAAAATAACTACAATTAGTATTAACACTGGAATGATAGATGTGCAAGAGATGATGTGCAAATAGAGATACTGGGGTGCAAATGAGCAAAACAAATAACAATATGGGGATGAGGTAGTTGAGTGGGCTAATTTCAGAAGGGCTGTGTACAGGTGCAGTGATCGGTAAGGTGCTCTGACAACTGATGCTTAAAGTTAGTGAGGAAGATAAGAGTCTCCAGCTTCAGAGATTTTTGCAGTTCGTTCCAGTCATTGGCAGCAGAGAACTGGAAGGAATGGCGGCCAAAGGAGGTGTTGGCTTTGGGGATGACCAGTGAGATATACCTGCTGGAGCGCATACTACGGGTGGGTGTTGCTATGGTGACCAATGAGCTAAAAATAAGGTGGAGATTTGCCTATCAGTCTATAATTTTAATGGTAGGTTTATTTGAACAGTGAGAGACAGAATAACAACAACAAAAATCCAGAAAAACGCATGTCAAAAATGTTATAAATTTATTTGCATTTTAATGAGGGAAATAAGTATTTGACCCCCTCTCAATCAGAAAGATTTCTGGCTCCCAGGTGTCTTTTATACAGGTAACGAGCTGAGATTAGGAGCACACTCTTAAAGGGAGTGCTCCTAATCTCAGTTTGTTACCTGTATAAAAGACACCTGTCCACAGAATCAATCAATCAGATTCCAAACTCTCCACCATGGCCAAGACCAAAGAGCTCTCCAAGGATGTCAGGGACAAGATTGTAGACCTACACAAGGCTGGAATGGACTACAAGACCATCACCAAGCAGCTTGGTGAGAAGGTGACAACAGTTGGTGCGATTATTCGCAAATGGAAGAAACACAAAATAACTGTCAATCTCCCTCGGCCTGGGGCTCCATGCAAGATCTCACCTCGTGGAGTTGCAATGATCATGAGAACGGTGAGGAATCAGCCCAGAACTACACGGGAGGATCTTGTCAATGATCTCAAGGCAGCTGGGACAATAGTCACCAAGAAAATAATTGGTAACACACTACGCCGTGAAGGACTGAAATCCTGCAGCACCCGCAAGGTCCCCCTGCTCAAGAAAGCTCATATA